ATGAGCGCTTGAACTTGAGCAATATTGGTGGGTGTTGCGAATGCGGTTGACCGTTTGGGGGATCGTGTGAGGCCGTTTAAAGTATCGTTACTGTGGACAAACAGACAAACTTACCGACAGCCAGACAGACAGACAGACAGACAGACAGACAGACAGACAGACAAACCGACCGAACTTTTTTCGTCGAAGTACCCCTATCGTCTTTAAAAACCCAGAAGGTAAGCATTTGTCCGACAGAACCGAACTGGCAACCTCTCCATTCACAGGTGGTGTAAAACATTCATTATTATGTCAGCGCGGTGCTAACCACTACCCTACGAAGCGTACGTCGTCCGGGTAAACTCAAGGCAGAGTTGTTAATGGCAAGCCATTGTTATACACTTTACCGCACCTGCGGGCCTCATAGCCTTGAAAGTTTACCACGTTTCAGTTATCAGTGGCGAGATGGCGCTGACGGGCTAGTGTTGGGCGCGCTGTAATTGTCATCCTCTCCATGAAGCCCCGCATCCACAAAGCGTGGTCTCTCCTGGGCGCAGCGCTTATAAGACTCACAATTCAGCAGAGGATTCACACGATGATGCGGCCGCATTTACGAAAGGAGCGTGCAGCTGACATAAGACAAAGGAGGAATTGGGACAGCTGTTCGAGCATGGCTTCTGCGCGCGTTTCATGCGTTTTTCTTGCTTTTTTAAAGCGCTCTTCAAGTGTTGAGTTGTTCATCCACGCTCGTCTTGCGTATACTAATATCCTGTGTGCTTTCGTCTTGAAGCGTGTGATGCGACTTTCGAGCTGCTTGCCGTAATTAACGTAACTTTGCAATGATGTTGCTGAAACAATGAACAATAAATGCTCAAGTAACTCTGTCAAGACACGTTCCACTTACGAGATATAATAATTCCTATAAAAGGGGATCAGCAACGGTTTTCTTTTGCGAAAATCAATAGTTGCACTATACGCTTTTTAGAATAGCCAGTTCGCACGTGGATTATGTGATTTCCAGAAACTTCGATGTTAAACATTTATTATTTACACCCCTCTAGTTTGTTATCAGCAGGTTACCGACACGTGGAGAAATATTAGGAGGAAAAATATTATCTACATAATTTTGTTACTTACAGTTTCTTTCTTTCTTTTGTTGTGTGTTTTTTGCGTTCATTGTGTTTCTTCAGGTGTAAATATTAATTATAAATTTTGGTGTATTGTATTTGTTCTTGAAACACATGTATTACTTTCTATGTTTATTTTGTAATATACTTTAATGTATTATTAGTACTTAATTTCAAGCTTCAACTCTTTTTGCCTGCGATCTATTTGCTAATGTTCAGCGATATTTCTTGCGATTTCTAACATAAATTGCTGTTCTGAGTATATATAAATTGTTAGCCTCACCTAAATATAGCTATTAACTAAATATAGTGAATACGCAAAAAATAAACTGAATCTAACACTGATCGCTTTTGTATTACATCGTGAACTTACGATTGCCTCTCTTTAAAACTAAGTGTCTTGACTGTACGTGACACTTCGTTCAGTGCGAACATTGTGGTGCGAAAATTGGCCCAGACTGCCATCGTAAAACGTCAACGTAGCAGTTATTCACGTGATTTCTTTCTCGTCAATAATTAAGGGATCATTGCACTGTAGACACTGAATTTCACATAGGGCTTCTACAAAATATCTATAAACATGCAGCACACAAGTACCTCGTAATACTCCTTTGGGCAGCAAGGCGAAGCCTTTGGCGCCTGTTTTCTCTCTCCAGCCTTTGTATCTGTAGGAGAAAAAAAATAGCAGATTCTGCTAAACATTCGAAGGACTCCAATTCGAGGCCTGCCTGCTGTAAATGTGGCAATTATTAAATCATGTTCCACGCCTTTCGTATTGGACTGCAAAGGGTTTAGTAGACATTCTTAGCTAACTATTAGAGTTTTCTGCCAACTGCGTTGTTCAGTACTTCCACGTAATATGCACACATACGCAATACGAAGAGTATCCAACCTTTTGCCCCACCGCAGTGGTCTGTTTGTTAAGGTACTCGGCTGCTGACTCATAGGACGCGGGATCAAGTACCGCCTCCGGCGATTGCAATTTCAATGGAGGCGAAAATGCAGTAGGCCCGTGTGATCACGTTTATCGGGTGCGCGTTAAAGAACCCCCGGTGTTCGATATTTCTGAAGCCCTCCACTACGGCGTCTCTCATATTCTTATGGTGTTTTTGGAACGTTAAATCCCACAAATCAATCGAGACTATAATCATCACATATCCTATCCATCCGACCTTTCTTTTCTTTTTGTGAACACCTGATGGATTTCAGAAATGAGTACTTGCATCAGTATACCTTGAAACATTGTGCACGGGTGCGAACGTTTTCCCGCCTCCTGATAGCGCCAGTTGCTGGGACGCAGTGTTCGAGTGAGACGGTGCGCAGTGCAGTCAGCGGTATTTTTTTATTGCAAGAAGAATAACTGAGCAACTGGAACAACGCTACTGCATTAAATTTTGCGTGAAATTGGGTGACAGCGAAGTGAAAAGCGAATTAAAGATTTAGACGGCGTTCGGTGCTGATGCTATGAGGAGCACACATATTAAAGATGGTAGAACTGGTTTAAAGACTGTCGCACAACGGTGGAGTGTGAGCCACGCTCCGGTCAGCCATGATCATAGAAATCACACAATCGTTGCCAAAGTGAACGTTATGGTTATGCGGGACTATCGCGGGACTTTCTTAGAAATCCTGGGAGAGGTTGGCACCAGCACTTTTCTTGCAGATTTCACTATGACGAAGCATTTGGCCATAAAGAGAGTTGCGGCGAAATTCGTGCTGAAGCTGCTCACGGCGAGCAAAAGCAGCTTAGTGTTGAAGTCTCACAGGACGTGCTGGATTCCACAGAGGCCCCCGACTTCAAGAACACCATAATCCCTGGTGACGAGCCTCGGGTGCACCGGTAAGACAGAAAAACCAAATACCATTATTCACAATAAAAGCACTCCAAGTTACCCAATTGAAAGAACCCCCGGGCAAGCGCGCAGCAATCTCAAAGTGACTCTCAATGCTTTTTTCTTGAAATCTGTTGTATGGTACACCACGAGAACCCACCACAAGGTCCGACAGTAAAAAAAAAACAAATAAATACAACAGCGGTGTCTTTCGTCACTACGCGATTCTGTGCAGGAAAAAAAAAGTTCTGGTCAGCAGGAGATCCGCACATTCATAGCGACAATGCTCCTGCAAATATATCGCAAGGGAGCAAATTATTGCTGCTACTATACAGTTGAGCTAAACAGCATTACAATACAGGCATTCTGGGAATGCTGCCAAAAATGGCAGCACAGCTGGGAGATGTGTGTGAACTCAAAAGGAGACTACTTTGATGGTGAATAAGTTTCTAGTGCTCCAGTCATGCCAGTTTTTCTTTCTTCGGCTAAAGGTTGGATACTTTTCGAAGAGGTCGCGTATGCGAAACCATTGAAAATATTGAGCGAATATTTTTGGTTTTTGGAATAAAATTTCAATTGATGGGCTGCACCTGGTTGTGCACGCTTCTTTTTTTGTGTGTGTTCCCGCTCTTTTAGCTCCGTTGCACCTCAAAACTGGCATCTGCAGCAAAAGCTTGCCAATGCTGGCAAAACTTAGCGAGGTTGATCACTAGCTCCGCAGATGGCTTTAGCCTTGTACCACTAACACAAGCTGCGCAGTTTCTATTTCATATTTATTTTTTTCTCTTCTCTAGTTCTGTGACTTCTCTCGCCCAACAGAATTATTGGAGGTTTTCAGTACGCCCAGCAAAATGCTTTGCGTTTACTACAAGCGGAACACCGGGTGTGAGCTACGCGTGTGGGCCCTGGAAAATATGACCACTTAAGCTCCTTAGTAGCGCCGAACAGGCGCTTTTATCTACTTTTGATTTTTGTCGTGATGCTTCAGCAGCAAAGTAGTTGCATTGTTTGGGCATTTTTTTAGAGACATAATACAAAATTTATCCTGCAGGCTTAGTGATGGCTGTCGTGGGATTTCGGATGATATAGGTTACGTCTTTGTAAGTTGTTTTTCAACATTTATAAACGGTGTCACTTGACGCGGTGGAAGATGTGGCACACGCTATTCAGTACTACGCTACGCCTTTGCATTGCCGGAGCACAGGACTGATTTAAAGGCTCTATTGCATCTGGCGGCGGAGAAATCGGCACACATGTTGTGAGGGCGACGAATGTTCGCCATGAAAGTTGTCTGTTACCTGCAGGCTGATAACAGCAGGCTTGAAGAACTCAAGTATTACAACTGAAATCAGCATATTAAACATAAAGTCACTGTCAAACTGTTCCGCCTCTGTCAAAATTGCCTTCAAAGGGACGCTAGAGACAACTAAGGAATTGGTTTAGATTAACAAGTTAGCCACATAGAAACTGAACTCAGTTAAGTTCATCATCACAGGTTCAATGATGAGGGAATAAATTACGTTCAATACCACTTTTGATTTACGTGTCGAAAAATCCGCGCGTGATATTACGATTTCAATTTGTCTTCAGCATATTCTGATTCTTCGACTGAACGAAATTTCACAAAATTCAGTATGTTGAGTCTATGACCTCCTCAGATGACAAGGTTCTCTATTTCTACAGATTAAGAACTGCATAGACTCTAGTAGAAGGCGTCAAGACATGTGACGTCATGGCGCCGAAACATCCAGGTAGGTGTCACCACCAACATTTTCTTTTTGCGCGTCTTCTAAGTTACCAAGTGTGTTCTCGCCAGAAGCGAGCTGTTTCTGGTACTGTGAAAGTGCACTTTACTAATACGAGACACATTGCTGTGCTGTTTTGGGTCCCTTTAATGATGCGCTATGTTGAGCTTTTATGCGTAGCAGTACAGCTGAACTTTACGTAACAGTGCGTGTAACAATGTTTTACTTCTCGCAGTAACGTATTGATGCAGCACAAGATGATTTGGGCTTCGGAGAAGAACAGGCGCACCTTTTCCTCAAGCTCACTCCTGGATGGCCGAAAGTGGTGACGTGGGGAGGCGCTTCCGTCGTTGTGGCACTCTTCCTCAACCTCCATCTCGATGTCGTTCAACTGGCTGGTCAGCTTCTCGATTTCTCTGAGTATTTTGCCGAAGAAAAAGAGAACACGTAAAACTGGTTGCTATGTGGCGGAAATCCTGTACTTAACCATCGAGGTCTCGCACGGGATGAAGAAATTATCAGGTTAGGTTGGTGTAAAGGAGTTTTTTTCAGCGCCCGTCAAGCTAGATCACCTGCGTAAGCTGACTCATCCTGCCAATTAAAAGATATAAGAATGCCCAAAAAAGCACTCAAATCCTTTAGTTGCCGTGCGCTGAAGGAGTGGTATACATTTTAGCACAACGTGGCGGGAAATACATGGGCCAAACTGGCTGATCTATGAATGATCGCTTGGAGGAGCACAAACAAAACCTAGCTCAGACAAAAATGAGCAGCTCTCTTCACACTACAATGTTTGTGGTCAATTATTTGGCATAATCAGATGCCACAACGAAACGTGCCGGAAATCGCACCAGCTAAAACTATGTCATCATAGGGGCGAAGTGTGTCAGCACACCATCAATTGTGTTCTTCCTAAATTCCTCAGTGTGCTGAAACTGTCACGTGGTCAAAGTAAAAACGATGTATATATGTACGGCGGATCTGCAACAAAAACCAGCTGCTAGAGCGCTTTTGTTTGTGTGCCTGCAGTGTGTTTCGTCCGTGTTCACTAGCGCTACCCTCCCATGATATCAAAAGTTGATAGAAAAATGCTCGACACATTGCTATTTTTCGCGGAGGGCCTCCGCCGCGGTTATCTAGTCGCTAAGGTACTCGAATGCTGACCCGCATATCGCAGGGTCAATCGCGGCTGTGGCGGCTGCATTTTTGATGGAGGCCAGAATGCTGTAGGCCCGCGTGTTCAGGTATGGGTGCCTGTTAAGGAACCCCATATGGCCGAAATTTCCGAAGCCCTCAACTATACGGCATCTGTCATAATCATATGGATGTTTTGGGACGTTATAATCCACGTATAAATCAATTTTCGCGGAAGTACTCTTTTTTCAAAAAAACAGGGATATGTTGATGGGACATATGTACTTTTGATGACCATTATGAATGGCTCCTGTTAAAACTAATGCATGCAAATGATTCTTTCTTTTTTTCTTGCAACCGAAGGACATCGGATTCTGCAAATGTGCCGACCAGAGAACAGTAACCAGATGTGCCCACCAGGGACGATTCACTGGACTACCTAAATTACTAGAGACATTGATTTCGGAGACAATAAAGTGTTCCATGCAAAGTCTTTCTGTGCTAACCTAGATTTCTCTCCCCTAGTAGAGTACACTGTATTCTAAATCGTCAAACATTCATTCTAAACACAGTGATTCCTAAGATATAGTCAATACAGGGTTACCTGAGGTTTCAAAATTACCACTACACTCAGTGAGGTGCAGGATATTTGTAAACAAGTGTTCTTCTAAAATTATTTGTTTCAGCAAAGTTGCCTGAATGATGTGCAGAACATGGCCCAAACAATGTTACAGTGTTACTTATTGTTGCATGATTTTTGCTTGAATAATTAAGCCATGTTGCTTGCTACGATGTTTCTTGGCATTGTTGTGGGGAAGCTACTAAAGGCAGACATTATCCACATTTGAGCAATATTGAAAGGCGACAATTCGATAATGTTGCAGCGATGTCTTGTGCTACTAGGGTAGGTGCTTCTTATTCTAGTCCTTACCTCTTTCTGACTTTACAGTCTGATTTTCATTTCGTCTTGGATTCGTTATTACCATTGTAAAAATGTTGAATCATTGTTCTTATTTAACTCTGGGCTTTACCAAGGTTCCTGAAAAACATTATATTTGGCACGCGAATGTTAATGAGTACATCACCAAGGCTAGGCACACAAATTCAGAGTGCATTTTAGGGCCATCAAGATATGGCTGTAATCGCAGCAGAGTCCACTCACTCACCTCTAGCAGAGCGACAACTCTGCCTCTAAGTACTGAGCAGCTTAGTTTCAAGTCTTGTCAAGGGATAAGGGCAGCAATATTTAAACAAAAGCGGTGATGTTATGTTCTGCCGCACAATAAAGCTTGTCATATCGTCAATACCTTAACTATTAGCTCTGATGTAGTTAGCTTGTGATCGATGACTGCATTGTATTTCAAATCTTTTGCAAAACTGATCTTCGGGGGTTTACATATTTACTGTGACGCAATAGCCATTATGTCCAAAGTGACGTCAGTTCAAAGTATTGATGTTGTAGTTTTACGGGGTGATGCTCCTAAAGCGCGAGTTTGTTCTCCTAGCTCGTACGTGACAGCCTAGTAAGATGACTCACTCAGCAGGTGCGGACAAGCGCATGGACAGACAGAAAGAAAGACGGACGAACGGATGCACAGACAGACCGACAAACGGACACACGGATGGGCGATCAATGGTTTACGGATAAAACCATCCGTCTGTCTGTGTCTGTTCATCCATCTGTCTGCCTGTCCATCCATCCGTTCATCTGTGTGTCTGTATATTTGTGTGTCTGTCCATCCGTCTGTGTGTCTGTGTGTCCATCTGGCCACCAGTCTTTCTATCTGTATGTATGTATGTATGTATGTATGTATGTATGTATGTATGTATGTATGTATGTATGTATGTATGTATGTATGTATGTATGTATGTATGTATGTATGTATGTATGTATGTATGTATGTATGTATGTATGTATGTATGTATGTATGTATTTCCATCCATCCAACCATCCATACGTCTGTCTGTCTGTCTGTCTGTCTGTCTGTCTGTCTGTCTGTCTGTCTGTCTGTCTGTCTGTCTGTCTGTCTGTCTGTCTGTATGTCTGTCTGTCTGCCTGTCTGTGTGGCTCCTTGGAATGAACAGACGCTTCGCCACACTGATCATTCACTCCGTGTATATGCTGTCAAAACCACTAACACCATCTAGTTATAATATTCCCAAGGAAATTAGGGAGCCTTCATGACCACTTTGTTTAGGGTGGAGACATCTTAGAAAGTGCCTTCAAAAACTTCGCCATAATCAGCAGCCGATCGGTACCGCTGTTGCCAGGATTCTGCCAAATTTATCATAATTTTATGTGCGCTGCCATTTTGGAGCGAGCCATACGATCCCCGCTGCTACTCGTGATCTGCAAGATTATAGGTGACTTCGATAAATTAGGCGTGAAATGTCGGTGGCGTCCAGCGTCAGCGTCAACACAAAATATTAGATGCATGAAGCGCGAAATGTAACCGTCGGTGGCGTACCAAGCGTCGGCGTCAACATGCTAGCAGGGCCTCCCGTTACATGCATCAAGCTCGAACTGTAGCCTCCAGTGGTGTCGAGCGTCGGAGTCAACACTCCACATGCATCAAGCTCAAAACATAACCGTTGATGGCGGCGTCCAGCGTCGGCGTCAACACGCTAGCAGCGCCTCCTGTTACATGCATCAAGCTCTAACCGTGACCATCGGTGGCTGTCCAGGGTCGGAGTCAACACGCACATGCATCAAACTCGAAACATAACCATTGGTAGCATCGTCCAGCGTTGGCGGCAACACTAATCATCACGGCCATCAAGCTGGAATTGTAACGGTCAGTGGCGTCTAGCATCAGCGTAAACACGTTACATGCAAAGCTCGAAACGTAACCATCGGTGGCGTCATCCAGCGTCATGAGCGCGTCAACAAGTTGTATCCATCAAGCTCAAAACGTTACCGTCCGCGGTGTCTAGCGTCGTCGTCAACACGTCGCATGCATAGAGTTCGAAACGTAACCATTCATTTGCCCACCCATGCTTGCGGCCATGCGTGCGTTCGTCCGCTTCACCCCACTCGTGATCACCCACCTCGTGAAAACATTGTGATTTTTGTGGTACCTGGGATTTAGATGTATCTAATGATTCGTGTTGACAACGACGTTGGACGGCACAGTTGTTTACATTTCGCGCTTGAAGCATCCACTGCTTCGTGTTGACGCCGACACTGTATGACCCCGACGGACACATTTCACGCTTGTGCATCTACTGGTTTGTGTTGACGTTGACACTGGACGACACCAACGGTTAAGTTTCACGCTTGACGTATTTTCTGTTTCATGTTGACGCCGACGCTGGAAGCCAATGAAAGACACATTTCACGCTCGATGCACCTAACGCTTCGTGTTCACGCTGACGCTGGATGACACCAACGCTTACATTTCACGCTTGATGCATCTACTGCTTCGTGTTGACGCCGACGATGGACGCCACCGACGGACACATTTCACGCTTGTGCATTCATTGTTTCATGTTGACACCGACGCTGGACGAAACCGACGGACACATTTCACGCTTGATGCATCCACTGCTTCATGTTGACGCCGACGCCAGGCCTTATTCTCGAGGATTAAATGAAGCCAGGCGTCCACGCAGTGCGGGCCACAATATGGCACGATAGCGCGGCATTGCCGTCTGGCAACATTGTGTTTAGGCGGGCGGAGAAGCGTTGGTAGCATGTAGTGCATCGAAGGCTGGCATCACCCTAAAACAGGCGGTCATGTAAGCTCCCAAAAGGACATTTACAAGCAGCGCCATCTATAGAGCAACCCATAAACTATACCTGGCTACATGCTACTACTACAACTACTAGTAATACTACTACTACTACTACAGAGAAGAGAACGACCCATGACGTAAGGAGCTTCACCACTAAACATGGCTGATCCTTGCATCATAAGAATCGGTAAAACGCGAAAGTAAAGCGTGTCTTTACAGAAGTATTTTATGTTAACTTTACGTTAATAAATCACAGGTTGCACGCAGTTCATTGGTGTTTGACAGCTATAGCACAGCTTAGCATGAACGCATGCATGTTGACGCTTAGTGACACAACTAATCACGCTGACTAAGATTCATCATTAATGAATAAGCAAAGGTTTGTGGTCGTAGGTGCTTGTGGTAGCTGTATTAAACGGGGAGTTTAGAACCAGGGAAATCGATGTACTAGCCAGAAGAGCGTGGCTAATTCGACGCAAAACTTGGGCCAACGTCGCCAACTAGCGGCATGTTGGGGCTCACTATTGAACAACACTGCCCGACCAAAGAGAAACTGAACACGCGTCCCGTTTTCACTTTAGAGGCCGCAAATGTTCGCGGTGCGAGCTCAAGGCGCTTTCACACCGAAGGCGGGGTGGCCAAAGCGGCGAGGCGGCAAAGCGGGAAGTGGGAACAGGCTCCCCTTGAGGTGGCGATAGCGGGAGAGAAACCAGGCGGCAAGGACGATCGCTCTCCGAGCAATTTTTCGCCGCTTGCCGAGGCTAGCCGCTTTGCCGCAGCCAATCAGAATAGCACGCAGCCGAAGCGCTGTGGTGGCGCGGATGCACGTTTGGGAAAAGCATTACCCCGTCACAGCGACACCTGCGCAAACACGTGAGATGCCCGCCTCTTCTGTCGCGCGGCCAGCCGAAAAAAAGGCATGCAGTCTGAACAGGTTCACGCACTCGCCGCTTCACCGATTCGAAAATCCCGCTTTGCCGTTTTTCCACGCTGCCTTCGGTGTGGAAGAGCCTTAAGTGGGGTACGCGGAGTTTAGGCCAGGCAAGCCGGTGGGCGTCCATGAGCTATTTTGAATGCGAATGTATTATTTCCTCGGGCTATGTGAGGCATCTGGCGTTCTCCGAGGAGGTTTCTGTGCACCTGCAGGTGTTATGTCTCTACTTTCACTCCCTCTCCCATAGCAACGCCTGCGTGCGCGCGCGCTTATCCTCACCCCTAGTAACCGGAGCATGTGGTGGTGATCGTGGTAGTGGTTAGAAGATGAAAAAGGCACCTAATTCCTGCAACCAGGTCGGGAGCACTGCACAGTGCCTACATGTGGTGTGGGAGAATATAGGGTGGTGGTAGTGGTTAGAATGAAGAGGAAAAAGGCACCTGATTTCTGTCTGCCTTCAGGCGACACGGCGCAGTGCCTTATAGGGGTGGGGGGAAGGAGGGATAAAAAGAATAGAAGGAAAATAGACGGAGAAGAAGACAGCCAAGCGAGAGAAAAAGGAAGGAGATAGGAAAGTGGGGATCCGGTCGAAGCAGTCCAAGGGCGGGGTGCCACAATGCGAGAGCTACACGGCGTCAGGAGACCGCGGAGGGCGAACCAGTCGACGGGAGCTTCGCTGCCGTCGGAGATCGCGAGGGTACAACCGTCCAGCTTGAAATCCTGCGAGCGAATCGGAGAATATAGGAGAAGATGGCTACAGTGCTTTGCCGCTCCTTCTCTCACCCTTCGCTCTCTCTCCGCCCCGTGCCCCACTTGCCACTAGCTCGTCCGCTCGCGCCTCACTCTCGACCGTTTCCTGGCTGCACGTCTTTCAAGAACATACGGAAATGCGTGCACGAGACGCCACCATAGAGTAACATAGCAATGTTACTCTATGACACCACTGTGAAACGGTAACGCAAAGCCGAGAACACTGTTTTGTTTACTGCATAGTACTTTGTAACCGTGCACGCTGTAGTGACTAGAGCTGCAAACGCGTACCGCGTTTCTCGCGGCAGAAAAACGCCCCGTGCGGCTAACGGCGCTTTTGGCTGCACGGTGTAAGAAAAAAAGGAAATATTATTCTTGTAACGCTGGATTCTCATGTGTGAAACATCAATATGAACGCAAGGCTTTACATTGCCGAATCCTCAAGATTCCCTTTGGTGAGGTGGGGGCATTTTTTTATGGGCGAAGCTCCTTATGCCGTCGGTCATATGTCCCATGTCATCATCGTAGTAATAGCCACCTCTCGATTAGTCCTTAGAATGTCCGCTGGATGATGGCACTTGTGTGTTATCAATATACATATCATGAAAAGATGCGAAATAATGGTACTTGAAGTGTTCACTAGATCGACAGATGCAGAGACAAATGAACGAATGGACAGACGGACAGACAAACGGACGAACAGACAGGCAGACGCATGGATGAACTGACAGAAAGACACACGGATGATCGGACGGAAGGACGCACAGACAGACTCATGAATGGACGACGCGCGGACAGATGCTTCGCCCCACAAATCATGTTTCACTCGATGCATATGCTGTGACTTTTTTAGTTTGAATAGACGATGCTATGAGCGACGCCAACTGTTCGGGTATGGTCGTCTTGGAGTGCGTTAAGGCGTTGACAAAATTGGATTTGTCCTATTGAAACAGACGCTTTGAAAAGATGTATTGAAGAACTTAATCGCGGATGCCAAGGTCATGATGCAATACTGCACTTGGCCAAGAGCACTGTGAGAGAGAGGACAGTGGTAGATAAATGATACCTATTTTGAAAGTCTACAAAGCATGGTTCGGCCTAATGTTTTTTTTTTTTTGCAACCAATGTTTCTATTTCACATGGAGTTTACGCTCTTGTTTGTTTGTTATATGTCCAGTTCCTGAAATAAAAAAAAACCGTGGCACAGCGGATAGCATGCCCAACATCTCTTGCCGTGGACCCAGAGGTCATGGGATCGACTTCCTTTGTTGGAGCCTTTTTTTCTCCTCTTCCTACCTCACGGAAATACTTCGTGAAGTTTTGGTGTACTCCAGTATAAAACACTTTCGTGTGAAAAAACATGTAGAGCTGAGTCTAACAGTACGTCTCCGAACGTTGTTTCAGTGCGACAGTCAACAATCTCCTGTAGAAGCTCCTCCGACTGGGAGATTGCAGCTGGAAAAAAATGAGTTTCGGTGGACGTTTGTTCAGCAAATTTTTTTTAGCAAACGTTTAGCAAACTTCGGCGACATTGAGCGTATCTATCTATCTATCTATCTATCTATCTATCTATCTATCTATCTATCTATCTATCTATCTATCTATCTATCTATCTATCTATCTATCTATCTATCTATCTATCTATCTATCTATCTATCTATCTATCTATCTATCTATCTATCTATCTATCTATCTATCTATCTATCTATCTATCTATCTATCTATCTATCTATCTATCTATCTATCTTGCTGCTTACGCTTGTGTGCTCTCGTGGTCACCCCCTTAACTTGGCGAGAAGCAAAATTAGCATGGGAGTGCAAGATGGTTCGACGAATATGACGCGCTGGTCAAGACATGAATAATGTCACAATCCCGCCATGTGCGTCGTCGAATACTTCCCGCTAGACAGCGGCACATACCCACGAGCCGGTAAGAGCCGCTGGTATGCAAGTATGTGCCACAAGGTATTGACACTTATCATATACCTAGGAACGACGAGAACACACATGGGCAATTTTAACGCGCGAGCGTTAAGAAGTACCCGACATCGGTAGTGTCCACCCGATGAATGCAAAGAATAAACGTAAGGGTTCCAACTGGAATCGAACCCAAGCTTTGCGCGTGGCAATGAAGCATTTTGCCACAGAGCTAGGCCAGGTCACGGAACTCCTTTTCAAAAAGACGCCAATTTTCGTGAAACGTTAATAATGGTTGCAGTGCTGCCTACCCAATTTTATAAGCATTACATGGGTACTCCTTTGATACAGCCGTTACGTCGAGTTAACGTCAGTTGTGGTTAGTTGCCATGCGCTGAAGTTGATGTATGTAGCACATTGCATGGTCAGCACCCTCGCGAGCATCAGCGATTCATATCAGCTTCTGGTGTTGCTATTATGCATGTTCCAGTTGGAATCATTGCACAAATACAAACAAGCGGTTATATAAGCATCTGCAAATTTTCAACATACGTCTGTGCATGCAACATTTGTATATATATTAGGCGTCATTTCGTGATGTGTCGCTCAATACGAAAATGCAACATGGTCACTTTCCCTCCGCATGCTTCGCATAACTTCGATTCGTAGATACGTGGGATCTGCAGAATATTTCTTCTTTTTATACTATGATCATTTTTCTGTAATATGAAATAGGAAAGTGACAAGTATTATTTTTATCTATTTTGACCACGTCCTGTATTATTTAGTAAAAATTTCTTATATTGCGTTTTCTCTATGTGTACCTCGTCATTCGAACCTCAAATTATCCTTCATTGCAGTAACAGTACACGTGAAAGTATAGTTACAACTGACAAAACGGCCTGCACGGCATTGTACGAGCTCGAGCATATATTAGATTGTGCTATGACTTTTCATTTCTCTCTGTGGAACTGGGGAGCGGAGAAACCATGATCATTTGGATCGAGGCAGCCAGGTTCCCTTTGTTAGCTTGGCACTGAGTATTAAGAACAGAATCGTGACTTCATCGTAATTGAGCCAGAACATTGGAAATGCGGACCTCTAACCTTTCCGCGGTGTGCCCGATTGTTGTGTTGCGAGACCATAGGAGGGTCGTTAGGAATGGCGCCCAGACACTGCCAAACAAGGTCACGGTTGATTAAAAAATAATTGATTAGAAATATTCAGCAAGCTCGATCCTGCGCCAGGTCCACATGTTTTTCATGTGCCGATATAGGCGCGTTTGGCCTGCTTGGGAAGTGGGTGCCGACTATTTCCTGCCATTGTTTATACGGAAGGCATACATTTCTGCGAACATGTTGAACATAGACCTACATACGGGTTTCAAAAATAAAGCAAATGAACAGTAACATCAGGGGTGACAAGGCCACACAGACAACCCTTCAAGAGACAGCATGAAGCCGCAGTCTGAATATATTCTAAAATGATGGATCTCTTCCGCTTCAGACACAATGCAAGAGACCTATTGTGCTACGTTCTGTAGATTACATCTGCGTCTTCGAATAGTCCAGAATGAACATAATTGTCTACATAAGTGCTCTGCAGCCATAAACTGTTCCACGTACATTCAGTAGCTCTGCCCACGTAATGCATCAACAAGATTTTAAAGGAAACCATATTTAGCTCTAAACAAGGTTTGCTGGTAACACTTCAGAGTAACAGTTTCCGCAGAAACGCACATGAATGCCAGTTTAAACTTTCCTGTGTAGTGTTGATCGGTACAATTAGGTTGTTATGGCAGTGGCTCACAAGCATTGAAAATGAATGGTTGTGCAATGTTCTGTAACCTGGAATGCAAAAGTGCCAAGAAAAACGATTTAGAAATTGGGATTGAAATAACAAAAATAACCGTTTATCAACGTTCTCTAACAGCAGTGATGAGAAGCGACAGATGAGGAGCACCACGAGAGCACCAGTTAGCATAGGGAGAGCACCAAATACAGAAACTGCTGAAGAGCCTTCTCATTCACTGTTTAATAAGAATAATACTGATCAAATTTCAACAATCACGAGTGTGAACGCTTCTTTAATACATGTCTGTTTTTCTTGATAGCTACTACTTCGAGGCACTGGCACTTCGTGTTTTAAATAACATGTGTCTACATCTTTGTATTTCTATATAAATACGCGTTCTTCTAGCTCCAATACATTGTGCCACTATAATATCAAGAAAGACGACCAAGATTAGAGTTTGCTGTTCAGTTCTAACAGTGTTCTTTATTTGAGTCAAAGTGTACTTACCTGTCACGAATTTCCAACTGCCTTTTGAGATCTCTGATTTCGGCAACAGCATCCGATAGTCCATACTCGCCCTGAAATGGAGCGGTCTTAAGATAGACATGAAAAGCACTGCACAGGGAAAAATGAGGGAGCACAGAAGAGAGCCCTAGTCTATGCTCCTTTGTTCGAGCTGTATCAAGGTGTAACAAATTCTTGTTACGATGTACCAATCAGCCTAAGTGAACACACTGTTGAGACGTTTATTGGCAGACACTCGTCGATGATCCACGACAGCAAAAGTCAATGCAGGGACCGACTCTCTGCACGAGCTGCTCTTCTTCTTATGAAAAGGGCGACCCACTAGAAGGCACTAGAGAGGACGACCCACTGTTCGAAGATTTTGCCACAACTACCCCGGGTACGAAAATGGAGCCGCCTGGCGACCTAACAGGTGGTCAGAATGAGCGGGTCATGGTAGGCCTTGAGGCACTCCACGTTAACAATGTCGCGTCCTCGACAGCGCATCTCCAAAGATGGTTCGATTCGTTCAATCAAGTAGTTGACAGGGGAAGTGCATTTGACGACACGGTAGGGGCCTTCGTGTTAGGGCAATAGTTTTGAAGATAGGCCAGTTGAAGTGGTAAGGATCGAGAGCCAGACGAGCGCTCCAGGGAGGAACGTGAGCGCAGTAGTGCTGGCGTCAGCACGAATGCTTTTTTGCCGCTCTTGATCGTGCGCAGTAAAGGTCTTTGCAAGCTCGCGACACCCTTCAGCAAGCTTGGTTGTAGCAGAAATAGGCGCCCAGTCAGACGGATCTCGCTTGTACGAAAGTATCGTGTCGATTTTGTGTGACGGGTGCCTTCCATATAATAAAAAGAAAGGTGAAAAGCCAGTGGTGCTCTGAAGGGTGCTATTATATGCGTAGGTGACGAAGGGTAGAATGGAATCCCAATTTGTGTGATCGGCGGCGACGTACTAGGAGAGCATGTCGCCGAGCGTACGGTTGAAGCATTCGGTGAGGCCATTCGTCTGCGGTTGGTAAGCAGCAGTTTTGCGGTGAACAGCGTTGCACTTTTTAAGAATGGCTTTAACGACTTCAGACAGTAAGACGCGGCCTCGGTCACTGAGCAATTCTTGGGGTAGACCGTGTCGCAAAATGAATCATTGGAGCAGAAAGGAGGCCACATCGCTCGCTGTAGCCGCGGGGAGAGCAGCCGTTTCGGCGTATCACGTGAGGTGGCCCACAGCGACAATGACCCAGCGGTTACTAGCCGACGTCAGTGGAAGTGGCCCATACAAATCAATGCCAACACGCCCCAAAGGGCCTGGCAGGGCAAGGTAGAGGTTGCAGACCTACCGGTGACAGGTGCGTTGAAGCTTTTCGGCGCTGACAATCTATGCAGGAGCGAACGAATTCCTGCACGTAGCGGTACATTCCGCACCAAAAGTACCGTTGGCGAATACAGTGGTAAGTCTTCGAAACCCCGGAGTGCACACATTGCGGATCAGAATGAAAGAACTCGCATATGTGAGAGCGCATACTGCGAGGTATGACTAGTAGCCATTGGCGGCCGTCACTGTTGTAATCACGCCTGTGGAGGAGGTCGTCGCGAACGGCGAAATGGTGGGCTTGACGACGCAACGCGCGAGTGGATGGAGTAGATGGATCAGCCAGCACGTCTATCAGTGAGACGATTCATTGATCCTTGCGCTGTTCAATAGCAATGGTATGAATGCTAATGGAAGAAATGGTGAGACGCTGAGTTGTGGGCATTGTCGTCATGCAAGAGAAAGCGTGACAGGGCGTCGGCGTCAGCATGTTGCCTTCCATTGCGGTACATCACGCGGATGTCGTAGTCTTGCAGTCGAAGTGCCCACCGGGCTAGACGGCCTGAGGGATCTTTCAATGACGACAACCAGCATAGTGCGTGATGGTCGGTGACAACATCAAATGGGCGACCATACAAATAAGGTCAGAAGTTTGTAAGGGCCCAGACGATTGCCAAACATTCCTTCTCGGTGACGGTGTAATTAGTCTCGGCCTTAGTAAGCGTACGGCTTGCATACGCCACGACATATTCCGGGAACCCTGGTTTGCGCTGCGCAAGGACAGCGCCAAGGCCGACACCACTGGCATCCGTGTGTACCTCTGTAGGGGCCGTAGGGTCGTAGTGGCGGAGTATGGGAGGCGACGTCAACAAACGACGGAGTGTTGTGAAAGCGTCGTCGCACTGTGATGACCACGAATAGAGAGGCCCGTTACTTCCGAGGAGCTTCGTCAGCGGCGATATGATAGTCGCGAAGTTTCGAATGAAGCGCTGAAAGTAGGAACACAGCCCTACGAAACTGCGCGGTTCCTTGACGAATGTCGGCTTGGAGAACTCGGCCACCGCCCAAAGCTTAGCTGGATCAGGGAGCATTCCGTCCTTGGACACGACGTAGCCGAGTATTGTGAGCTGCCGAGCTGCGAATCGGCACTTCTTTAGGTTCAGTTGCAGACTGGCGTCACTCAGACACGTTAAAACATGCCGCAGGCGTTGAAGATGCGTCGAGAAGTAAACGACGACGCCATCGAGGTAGCACAGGCAGCTAGGTGTGCCATTTCAGGTCACGCAGAACAGTATCCATCATGCGCTCAAAGGTGTCGGGCGCATTGCACAGCCCAAACAGCATGACGTTGAATCCGTTGGGGGTGACAAAAGTGGTCTTCGATCGAGCGTCCTCAGCCATAGAAACTTGCCAGTACCCTGAGCACAAATCGAGGGATGAAAAGAATTCTGCTTCTTGCAGGCTGTCAATCGCGTTATCTACCCGCGGTAGTGGGTACACGTCCTTACGAGTGATCTTGTTGAGGCATCGGTAGTCCACACAGAACCACACAGAACCGTCCTTCTTCGTGACGAAAACGACAGGAGACGCCCAGGGGCTGCTAGAGGGTCGAATAACATCACCGCAAAGCATGTCGTCATCATGCTCGTTGATTAGATGGCGTTCTGTGGAAGATACGCGATATAGACGTTGCCGCAGTGGTGACTGTGTGCCTGTGTCGATGCGATGTGTAACGGTGGATGGCCGGCCAAGAGAACGTTGGGCGACATCAAAAGAAGACCGGAATTCTTCCAACAGGCCCAGAAGCTGGGAACGCTGGCCTGGCGTAAGGATGTCGGGAATGCAGGGACCGAATACATCATCAGATGATGAAGCAGATGTCGAAACAGCACTAAGCGTATTGGAACTTGAGCAGTGCATGTCATCGGGTTGATCCATAACTTGTTCGTCTTCGATGGGCTCCACGCTGCCGAGACATTCCCCTCGCACCAACGTAACGCTGTACGGGAATGAGTTCACTACAAAAATAGTGGTGCTGCCGTGAGTGAGTTGCACGGTCGCGGAAGGAACCAGCAAGCTTTTTCTGATGAAAACACAATGAGATGGCGAGAGTAGCGCAGCGGTGTCATAAAGGCTTGCGCAGTAGACCGACACCGTCACGGACGAATTTGCAGGCACTTGGGTGTCATCTCTGACGAGTAACTTGCTTGCAACAGATGGACTGTCGGACGGCGTCAAAGAAGAGAATTGTGTGAGTTCTATTTCTGCTGGTGCGCAATAAATGACGGCGTCATGGCGGAAAAGAAAATCCCATCCTAGGATGACGTCGTGAGAGCATGAAGGAATTATGATGAATTCGACCGTATACATCACGTCCTGAATCATAAGGCGGGCTGTGCACATAACCGTAGGGTGAATGCTTTGGGCGCTGGCTGTATGGAGGGAGAGTTCGGAGAGTGGCGTGGTCACTTTGCGCAGTAATCGGCTAAGTTTTGCGTCCATGACGGATATCGCGGCTCCGGTATCTACAAGGGCAGATGCATGAACGCCATCCACAAGTACGTCTATTACGTTCGATGGGCTTTCTTGAGGGCTTCCGCAGTTCGACAGCGTCGCAGCCCTTGTCTCGTGGACTGGGACGACTACTTTTCCTGGTCGCCCTCGAGTGGACGTGGCCGCATCGGCGACAGTGAGCGACGTCGCGGAGATGGTGAACGGCGGGTAGACGCAGCGGGGCGGGACGACGGTGACATAGGCGGCGGTTGGTCATAAGAGCGGCTAGATTGGCTGTGAAAGTTCGAGGAGACCTGCGGTTGCTGCACACGATTGCAATAGCGTGCTACGTGACCGAGGCGACCACAAGCAAAGCAGATGGGGCGATTGTCAGCAGTGCGGCATCTGTTCGAGGGTCCCATCCATGTCGCAGAACGTGATGGGCGAGCCGGCTGCTGATATGAGTGCATGGTGGGCGGCACTCAGGGCACGTGGGTGACGTCGGCGTATGTAGGCGACACAGTTTATCTGAAGGCCTGGGGTCTGGCGATGGTTTCGGTGTAACTTAGGGGGCAAGCCAAAGAAATCGGTTGGGGCAGCCTGGCTACAACTTGGGCGTTGCTGAGTGGCGCAGATACAGTAGGCGGCTGATGTATTTAGGAACGACCTCCGCGGTTTCCTGCAGAATGGCTCGGTGGAGCGGAGGTAGAAGTGTACTTTACGGCTGTTGAGGATGTTGCGGCGGAGCAAAAGCCAGTAAAAATACCTGGTGGGCAACTTCCTCACGCACGAATGACTTGATTTCGGCGAGCAAGGTTGTGTGGTTAGGAACTGCTGACAAAGCCGAGAGACCAGCATCACGTGGTGGCTGTTGATGGGTCATCAAGTGCTGCCGCCGCAGCTCGTCGTAACTTTGGCATAATGTATTGACTTCTGCCACAGTGTGAGGGTTCTTAGTCAGGAGCATGGTGAAGGCATCGTTGGCGATGCCTTTTAGAACATGCGTGATTTTGTCAGCCTCTGACATGTTCAGGTCGACTTTCTTGCACAAGTCAAGGATGTCCTCGATGTAGCTTGTGAAGGACTCGCCGGTCTGCTGTGCTCGTTCGCGTGAACGCTGTTCGGCTAGCAGTTTACGAACGGCAGGACGGCCGAACACGTCGACGACAGCGGTTTTAAAAGCGAACCAAGTCGAGAAATCAGATGCGTGGTTGCTGTACCACATTCCGGCCACACCCGCGAGGTAGAAAAACAGATTACCGAGTTTAGC